ATTCCAAGAATTTTCTTTGCAGCACCTAAATCTTTCATATCAAATTCCTGACTCAATAAAGTTTTCAAAACGATAACATCATCCATGTTCTTCGCAGCAATCAACATATCATCAACATACAGTAATAGAAAAATAAAAGAACCATCATCAAGGCTCTTAACATAGACACAACAGTCATACTCACATCGGTTGTAGCCAATCTTGATCATATAGGAGTCAAACTGTTTATACCACTGTCTCGGAGACTGTTTCAACCCGTACAAAGATTTCTTCAATCTGCAAACTAAATGCTCGTTTCCAGGTTGAGTGAAACCTTCAGGTTGCCGCATGTAGATCTGCTCCTCTAAATCACCATGCAAAAAAGCAGTTTTAACATCCATCTGCTCTAAATGCAAATCCCAACTAGCCACCAATGCAAGTACTGCTCGGATTGAAGTGTGCCTGACCACAGGAGAAAAGATTTCATCATAATCAACTCCTTTCTGCTGTGAAAAACCCTGCGCTACCAAACGAGCCTTGAACTTCTCCCCCTCTTTTTCTGTTACTACTGGTTTCTTCTTATACACCCATTTGCAACCAATCGGCTTCTTACCCTCAGGAAGGGGAACTAACTCCCATGTGCGATTGTGATTCAAAGACTCCATCTCCTCAACCATGGCTGCCATCCACTTGTCGTTTTCCTGACTAGTAACGGCATCATGAAAAGTAACCGGATCATCACTGCTAACAATAAGTGCAAAAGATACCAAGTCTTCAAAACCCAATCTGTTCGGAGGCTTTATATTCGTCCGTCTCACCCTGTCTCTGGCGAGACTATAATCCTGCAAATCATCCGTAGTGGAACCACCAGAAGTCGGTTGAGAAGTTTCTGGTTTCTCAACTGGAAACTGCTCGAAATCCACCACTGTCGTGTCTTGCTTCTGCTGCAACATGGATTGTTCATCAAAAACGACATCTCTACTAATCACAACTTTCTTCGCAACTGGATCCCAGAACTTGAATCCTTTGACACCTTTCTTGTAACCCAGAAAAATGCACTCCTTCGATTTTGCATCAAGTTTGGATCTCTCATCAGCAGGTACATGCACATAAGCAGGACAACCAAAAATCCATAAGTTATCAAAACTAACATCATGACCAGTCCATACCTCTTCTGCAACTTTCCCAGCCAGCGATGCCCTTGGCGATCTGTTGATAAGGTAACACGCCATGTTAACAGCCTCAGCCCAGAAGTGTTTGGGAAGCCCCGCATTCAACCGCAAACATCTGGCTCTTTCATTCAACGACCTGTTCATTCGTTCCGCAACACCATTCTGTTGTGGTGTCTTGCACACTGTAAAATGCCTCTGAATCCCATGTTCCTTACAGAATTGTAGGAACTGTGAATCTGTGTACTCCGTACCATTGTCAGACCGCAAACACTTGATTTTTCGTCCTGTTTGGTTTTCTACCTCAGCTTTCCACAGCTTGAACTTCTCAAAAACTTCAGATTTCTGTTTCAAAAAATACACCCAAACTTTCCGTGAAAAATCATCAATAAAAGTAACATAGTACCTAGATCCACCCAAAGACGATGTCGTGGAAGGCCCCCATATATCAGAATGCACATAATCAAGAATCCCTTGAGTTGTGTACTTCGCAGTCTTGAAACGGACTTTAGTCTGTTTACCAAGAACACAATACTTGCAAAAGTCGAGCTTACAGCTTTTGACACCATGCAACAAGTTTCTCTTGTGTAATTCTGCCATACCACGTTCACTAAGATGAGCAAGGCGCATATGCCACAATTTTGTCGTATCATCACAGGACTCAACAGAGTGAACTCCACCTGCAACGGTACTCCGTAACAATCTGTAGATATTCCCTGCAGTCAACTTGCCTTTCATCACAGTCAATGCTCCTTTAACAATCCGAATGGTTTCCCTATCCTCGTCAGCCTTAGGGATAAAACCATTCTTGTGCAAAGTGCCCAAGGAAATCAAATTCTTCTTCAAGTCTGGGATATGTCGAACACCACTCAACGTCCGAACGGAGCCATCGTGCATCTTAATTCTGACATCACCAATACCAACAATATTGCAACATCGATCATCACCCAAATAAACCGAACCAGAATTAACCGGCCTGTATGTCGAAAACCATTCCCTATTTGGCGTGATGTGATAAGAACATCCAGAATCAAGAATCCAAGCATCCGTCAATTGTGTCGTTGAAATAGAAAGCATATCACCCTCACTGCAATCAGAATTATCATCCTCGACCACGTTCACAGACTTGGATGAGCCATCACGCTTCTCATCAGTCTGCTTTTTCAACTTCGGACAGTCTCGCTTCATATGTCCCGCCTCCTTGCACTTGTAACAGTGAATCGTCTTCTTATCCCTGGATTTGGATCTGGAATTCCGCTTCCCGGACCCTGCCTTCTCTGGCTTCCGTCCACGATCTCGATTACCCTTGACATATAAGCTATCGGCTTGAGAGCTTTCCCCTGCATTCTGCTTCCGCTGGTTGTGAGCCAACAAGGCTGCAGTAATCTCCTCAACATTGATAGTCTCTTTCCCATATGTAAGAGTAGTCACCATGTGTTCATAAGAGGGAGGCAACGAACACAACAGAATCATCGCTCTGTCTTCATCCTCAATTTTCACATCAAGCCGAGCCAGATCAGAAACGATTTGATTGAATACATTCACGTGTTGCGCCAAATCGTGATTGTCCTGCATCTTCAGCCCATACAGCCGCTGCTTCAGATACAGTTTTGTCGTTAAGGATTTGGACATAAACTGACTTTCCAACTTCCTCCAAATTTCGTCTGGAGACGATAGATGCATGACGTGATACATGACCTCGTCCGCCAAGCATAATCGTATGGTTCCTGCCGCTCGCTGTTGCAATTCTTCCCAATCTTCCTCATCCATCGACGCCGGCTTTGTAGATCGCAAAGCCTTCAAGATCCCTTGCTGCGCCAATAGATCCTTCACCCTCGTTTGCCATAATCCGAAGTTACCTGACCATCGAATTTCGCGACTTCGAATTTTGCTCCTGACATCTCTGATACCAATTGTTGACGAAAACGGGTAAAGAAAACAAAAGAACACGAGAATTTTACGAGGTTCGGCAATGTGCTTACGTCTTCGGTGCCTAGGCGGCGCTAGAAGTTTTTATTCAAAAAATGATATTTTAGGTCTAGGTTACATTTCTATTTATAATAGAAAACCCTGGTACATAATTACAAAATTAACCCTGTACCGTACCGCGAGGGCTGCGCCCCCGCACCCCCAACCCACATAATTCGTAACCCCACAACGAGACTTTCTTTGTAAGGACAGTTGATGTTCGCTTCGCTCACTCCGCTCCATCTCCTGTCCTCTTTACTGGTATATTTATGAGCCATACCTAACACCGTATAATGGTGAATGGGATATTTTGGATAGTTTACATGGTATATCAAATTAAAGAGGTAGAATTCTTCTCCATGGTTGAGACTGTATTTCAGTTGATTCTATATGGTTTTCTTCTATTTTCTCAGCAGCAAACCATACCCTTGATCCTTCAAGGAGGAGAATCTATCTGCAAAGTTCTTTTATTATCTAACATTTTGATTATTGCAGATGATTAAACAAGAAGAAAAGGAATAATGATCAAGAATTGAATCAAAAACATATAATATACGTTTCAAAAACATATATGTTATTAGCTTTTATATATTAATATTTAAAGTATTTCAAAAGTCTGGTTTTAGTACCTTTATTTTTTTTGGCAATCATGATTCTATATGTTTACTTTTTTGGTAGCACCACCGTATTTGATCTATTAACTAACTAATCACGATGATATATAATCTTTAACGATGTTAACTATTTAAATTAACAAATTACATTATAAAAATAGATAACAAATTATCACTAAATTCTAAATTTAAGCATATTAGAATGAATAAAACCATAATTTTAAGTATTTCTTGAGATGTGATGGAATGAACTGGAAGTATCTGAGGGGACTAACAATGGCTGGAGGCGAGTTAGGGAACCACCTCAAAACCAGCCTTACAATCAACAACGTATTGTAGTTGTTTAAGATATTTAGGATTGCAAGTGTCTAACGGACTTGTTGTTCTTCTTAAAAGTTACGAGTTCGAGTATCGACAGAAGTATGAACGTTTAATTCATAGTCAATTGATTAAGTATGAGCGTTTAATTCATAGTCAATTGATTGAGGGTCTTTAAATAGATATTGTTTTATAATTCATAGTCAATTGATTGAGTCTTTGAATATATATTACATTGTATTTATCTCGTATATACAGAAAAAAAAATTAGGATTCCATTTATAACCACAACCCCTGCCACTAAATCACCGGGCAAAATTAAGATAAAAGTTTATTAAAAATATATTTTTAATTTAATTTATTTAATATTATAATATTGAAATATTTTATTTTAGAAATATAATAGCTTATTTTATTAAACCAACTTATAATTAATTTTTTTTGTTTTTCTTAATTCTAACATATAAAATCATTATAAGTAGCAAGCTATTCGAGTTTATATTTAAATTTAATTATAAATAATTATAATATTATACTATTATTTGATTCTAATTTAAATTATTATATATAATTTTATATATAATATACATATATATTTCTTCATATTTTTTCATGTGTGATATTCACAAGTCAAGTAAAATTAAGGGATTAACTCAAACTTAAAAATCAACCCATCAATTATTAAAAAATTAAATTATTCGAGTTTTATTTTATAACTCAACTTAAATTTAAATTATTTTCGAGTTGAATCAAATTTATTAAATTACTAATAAAATTAAGTTAAAAAAACGTCAATTCTTTGAATCTGATCAAGTTTTATTCCGTTTTGATTTTTGAAAAATCAGAAGAAAACGCGTTTTGTTGTGAGGTGATTCTTTCACGCGTTTTCTTGAAAATTGCTATAAATGTACCCTCATCCTTTTCTTGATTCTTATCATCATTCTTGCTTTCCTTTTGCTTTATATTCTTAGTTTATATTTCTTCTCCTTTTCCATACAACTGAAGCTAATTGTTTATCTGAAGGTACAATCTATTATTTTCCCCCTTTTTGAACGCCATGCAACCAGGTGGACGTAGGTATTGTTTGGAACTGGTACTTATCCATCATGAAATAAAAGAAAAAATTTATTAGTCGTTTATATTAATGATGATGCCTATCTTGATATTGTTACGGAAGACGGTTATCGGATAGAGTAAAATCGCAATTGATAATTTGAGAAAATAAAATGAAGATAAAAGAGACACAAAATTTACGTGGAAAACCCCTAAAATATTTAGGGTAAAAAAACCACGGGCAACGGTAGAAGAATTTCACTATGAGAAAATAGGAATTACAACCTCTCTCGATCTACCAAGGAGAAAACAATGATAATTCTCTCTAGATAAAAAGGAGAAAACAACTCTCAAGAAACTCTCTAAAATCTCTCTAGTATTGTAAGAAAGCTAGAATGTTTTGGGATGGTTTTGAAGCTAAATGAGCTAGGGTATTTATAGTTGAAGTCTTAAGGACTAATTTGTAAATACCCTAAATTACAATGACTAAATTTAAGCTTTTACCATTTTATTTTTCAACAATTTCAGCCCCCTTTTTGACTACATGAATCGGTGCCCCATTTGTTTTTAATTTTCCAACTTTCGGTGCCATGTGCACTAGATTTCAACAATCTCCCACTTGAAGATTTGATTGGAACAATCATATCTTCACACCATTCTTTCTACCTTGTACCTTTCATGTTGCTTATGTCTCTGACAGGCCACAGGAGGATCGACACCAAGTAAATTTATCAGCGTTAATCGCCTTTGTCATAAAATCTGCTATATTGTCTTTGGTATGGATCTTCTGCATATCTACTGTTCCTTCTTCCACCTTTTCACGAATGAAGTGGTACTGAACTCGTATGTGTTTTATCCTTGAATGAAATGCTGGATTCCTTGCTAGATGCAAGGCGCTTTGAATGTCACAGAAAAGAGAAACATGCTCTTGATTGTGCCCAAGCTCCTCCAATAACATCTTAAACCAAATTGCTTCTTTACTGGCTTGTGTAGCTGCTACATATTCTGCTTCTGTTGTTGACGTAGCCACAACTGACTGCAATTTTGAAACCCAGCTTACAGCTCCACCAGCAATTTTGAACACATATCCTGTAGTAGATTTGCTTTTATCCAAATCCCCTGCATAGTCAGAATCTACATACTCATTGATTAGTAAGTTTGATCCTCCGTAACATAATGCAACATTTGAGGTCCCTTTGATGTATCTCAGGATCCTCTTTACTGTATTCCAATGCTCTTTGCCTGGATTCGCCATGTACCGACTAACCACTCCCACTGCTTGTGCAATGTCTGGTCTTGTGCATATCATAGCGAACATTAAACTTACCACTGCTGATGCATACGGTACTCGAGACATCTTCATCCTCTCTTCTTCACTGCTAGGACTCATACTGGAGGATAATTTGAAGTTAATAGGAAGAGGGGTAGAAATTGGCTTACAATCTTGCATGTTGAATCGTGACAAGATCTTCTTCAAGTAATTCTTTTGTGAAAGCCAAATCTTCCTATTACTTCTGTCTCGGTGAATTTGCATCCCTAGAATCTTGTTTGCTGATCCCAAGTCCTTCATTTCAAATTCCCTAGCCAGTTGTGCCTTTAATTCTTCAATATGATCTTTGTTGGGTCCTGCAACGAACATGTCATCCACATACAACATCAATATAACAAAATCGTTATCACCAGACCTCTTGAAATAAGCACAAGGGTCTGCATTAAGTATGTTGTATCCAAGGCACATAATGAAGGAATCAAATCTCTTATACCAACACCTCGGCGCCTGCTTTAGACCGTACAGGGATTTGTTCAACCTGCAAACCAAGTTCTTCTTTTCGTATTCTTCAAAACCTTCAGGCTGAAGCATATAAATCTCTTCTTCAAGATTTCCATGAAGAAAAGCTGTTTTAACATCTAGCTGCTCTAGATGTAAGTTCAATGTAGCACACATTGCCAAGAGTACTTGAACTGTTGTTAGTCGAACCACAGGAGAAAAAATTTCATTGAAATTAATACCTTCTTTTTGAGCATATCCTTTGACCACCAGTCTTGCACGATACCTCTCCACTTGATCGTCGCCATTTCGCTTGATTTTGAAGACCCATTTGTTACCAATTGGCTTCCTTCCTTGTGGTAGTGGCACAAGGTCCCATGTATTATTTTTATGAAGGGCTTCGATTTCTTCTTGCATCGCCATCATCCACAGTGAAACATCTGAGCTGTGTATTGCCTCCTGGTATGTTGATGGCTCACCGTCCTCTGTTAAAAGGCAATATGCAATATTACCTTCTATAACATAATCTGAGTGCCAATTGGGATGTCTTCTCACACGATCTGATTGATGAGTTGTTGGAGCTTCAGAACTCTCTGGTTCTTGTTCATCATGTGTTGGTTCTGCTTCAGAAGAATCTCCTTCTTCAAACTCTTTTTCCACATGTATCTAAGTAGTCTCTGACTTTTCAGCGCTATCATCATCTTCTTTTATTTGTAACTTATCTTCTACAAAGATAACATCCCTGCTAATGATCACTTTGCGGGCAGTAGGGTCCCACAAGCGATACCCCTTTACACCATCAGCATACCCCAAGAATTTGCATTTCCTGGATTTTGGATCCAGCTTTGAAATTTCTTGGGAGTTGTACATCACATACACAATACTTCCAAATACATGGAGGTTTGAATAATCAGCTGGTTTACCGGTCCACATCTCCATTGGTATCTTCAGCTCTATTGCAGTTGATAGAGCTCGATTCACCAAATAACAGGCGGTATTGACTGCTTCTACCCAGAATGATTTTTCTAGGCCTGCATCCTTCAACATTGCTCTTGTTCTTTCTAACAAGGTTCTGTTCATCCGTTCTGCCACTCCATTTTGTTGAGGAGTGTTCGCCACTGTGAACTGTCTTTTGATGCCTTCTTTTCTGCAAAAGTCATCAAATTCTTCGCTTGTGTATTCTCCTTCATTATCTGTTCTGAAACACTTGATCTTATTTCCAGAATCAAGTTCCACCCGCGCTTTGAAGTTTTTGAAAGTGAAAAACACATCTAATTTCTTCTTAATATGGTACACCCAACATCTCCTGGAGTAGTCATCAATAAATGAGACAAAATATTTTGCTCCGCCTAGGGATGTAACTGGTGCTTGCCATACGTCAGAGTGAACCAATTCTAGAACACTTTTGCCTCTAGAATTTGATGTGTTGAATTTCAACCGGTGCTGCTTACTTGTTATGCAATGCTCACACAAAGGAAGTGATACCTTTGTTAAGCCTTGAAGTAGCTTTTGCTGCATAAGGACTTTCATTCCTTGTTCTGACATGTGTCCAAGTTTCTAATGCCATAGCATTGCCGAATCTGAACTACATGAGGCAACAGAGGCTTCTGCTTCTACCAAAGTCTCTCCCTTCAGCATGTACAAATTTGCAGCTATCTTTTCACCTTTCAGCACCACAAGCGCTCCACGGAACACCTTCATGATTCCTTTCCGTGTTTCAATCTTGCTTGCATTATTATCCAACAATCCGTAGGATAAAAAAATTTTCTTCAGGCCTTTCACGTGCCGCACATCTCGAACAACTTTAATTGTTCCGTCATACATCTTCAATTTGATGGTTCCCATGCCAACGATCTCTAAGGCATGATCATTGCAACTATAAACAGATCCTCCTGAGACAGGTTCATAATGATGGAACCATTCTCTTCTTGAGGTCATGTGATATGTTGCTCCCGAATCAATGAGCCATATATCTGCAAATCGTTTTCTTCCTTATACGGTGGTTGATGCTTCACAGCATAGAGCATCTCCATCATCTGAAGTGTTTGCGGTATTGCCTTGTGGATTGGAGTTTTTATTTAGACTCCAACAATCCTTCTTCAAGTGACCCTTCTTTCCACAGTTGTAACACTTTAAATTCTTCTTGCTCCTCGACTTCGATCTACCATGTTTGTGACTGCTGCTTTGGCCACGTTCTGTTGATCTTCCTCTCATCGTTGTCATCGTTGTCAACGCTTCTGCTTGTTGCAGATTTACTTGTCTGTCTTCCTTGTTCTTGTGCCGATTTTCTTCTTGTAGAACAACAGCTGCAATATCATCGAAGACTAAACTGGTGACATTACTGTTTGTCAAGTTGATGATGAGTTGATCGTATGAATCCGGTAGACTTTGAAATAGAAGTTCAGCACGTTCTTGTTCTCCTATTTTATAGCTTAAGGATGTAAGCTGAGAAAATAAGGTGTTCAGTGTATTTAAGTGCTCCGTCACTGAAGTAGATTCTGGCATACGGAGAGTGTACAATTTCCTTTTAAGAAAAATTTTATTGTGCAGCGATGTGGCCTCGTACAATTTGGTGAGATGATCCCATATCTCCTTAGTTGTCTTCTTCTCCTCGATGCTTAACAATACTTCATATGCTAATGCTAGATGAAAGTTTGACATAGCATTCCCGTCCATCTCGTTCCATTTGATGTCATCTGCAAAATCCACCGGCCTTTCACTGATAGCCGCTAGACACCCGTCTTTCCTCAGGATGGCCTTCATCTTTAATTTCCACAATGAGAAATTTCTCCCATTGAATTTTTCAATATCAAATTTCGTTGTCATAGCTTCTATTACGGATAGCTCCCACTATTTCACTATCGTGAATAGTTCTCTGGAACCTTCAAAGAATGGGTAATACCTTCTTACTTTCTTATGTTGGAGGATCCACCTTTTGGTGGCAACCACAAAGACAATAAGCAGATATTACACATTCTAATATAGCTCTGATACCAATTGTTGCGGAAGACGGCTATCGGATAGAGCAAAATCGCAACTGATAATTTGAGAAAATAAAATGAAGATAAAAGAGACACAAAATTTACGTGGAAAACCCCTAAAATATTTAGGGTAAAAAAACCACGGGCAACGGTAGAAGAATTTCACTATGAGAAAATAGGAATTACAACCTCTCTCGATCTACCAAGGAGAAAACAATGATAATTCTCTCTAGATAAAAAGGAGAAAACAACTCTCAAGAAACTCTCTAAAATCTCTCTAGTATTGTAAGAAAGCTAGAATGTTTTGGGATGGTTTTGAAGCTAAATGAGCTAGGGTATTTATAGTTGAAGTCTTAAGGACTAATTTGTAAATACCCTAAATTACAATGACTAAATTTAAGCTTTTACCATTTTATTTTTCAACAATTTCAGCCCCCTTTTTGACTACATGAATCGGTGCCCCATTTGTTTTTAATTTTCTAACTTTCGGTGCCATGTGCACTAGATTTCAACAGATATTTCTTTGTGTTTATCTAATATGAAAAATTTATGTTATTAATATATAATGTCTACTCTCAAAAATATTTTTGGACCCACCAATTCGATCTAACACCATATTTTTTTATCGTTGTTATATTCTTATTTATTTATGTGCATGTTGGATATACAGGATGCAGTTGAGACCATGAAAGCTGAAATGGTAATGATGAGAAACGAGAAAAAATACATGGAAGCACTGCTAACTTCGGTGGAGAGTGCAGTTGAAGAACATAAGAGAGTTGTTTCGATGTATAAAGCCATGGAAAAACTGGCTGATGATTTGCTGCCCGTTGTAATGGAAGCGGAAGGTGATGATAACAACTGTCTGGAGCTTGACGAGGAAACCATGAAGGAACTGGTGGAGGAAGCTATGAGGGACTTCAATGAAGCATTGAAACAAGCTCAATCTCGCCGGACCAGCCCTGCAGATGGCGGAGGGGATGACGGCGGCTCTGGTGATTATAAGAATACTGGTGATAGAACCAATACTAATACTGGAAATGATACTCGTGGAAGCGGCGGTGGCCACGACTTATAGGTTGAGAGCTTAGTGGTTTAAATAATGAATAAAAAATCAGTTAAGCCGTCTAACGGTTTTATGTACCTTTAGTGAACCACGTATTAAAATGAAGGAAAAAGGCTGAAAAACCAGCGGTATTATGAATAGTTGTTTAAAATTAAATAATTTATTAATCTGTTGGGCAGCAATGCATAAATATTATTTTCAATTATAATTTAAAGTACATAAATGGTCCCCCAACTATAGGGTACTGCTTTATTGAGACCTCTGACTATTAAAAATAAAAAAATGGTCCCTAAACTATAGGAGTTACTTTATTGAGTCCATCGACTATTAAAAGTTATAAAATGATCATCGACTATTTGTTATGTTCCAAACTTGTCATTTTCTTTTAAAAATTTAACGGTTTTCTGAACTAGACGTTAACATGCTGACTGATAGTTGTTATGAGCTTAGATTTTATCATATCTCAGTTAGTATGTTAACCTCCAACTCAAATTGCCGTTAAGTTTTAACGGAAAATGACGAGTTTGGAACATAATGAATAGTCGATGACCATTTTGTAACTTTTAATAGTTGAGGGACTCAATAAAGTAACTCCCTATAGTTTAGGGACCATTTTATAACTTTTTAATAATATGAGACTCAACAAAGCAATATTCTATAATCGGACGACCATTTATATAATTTACCCTTATAATTTTATCATAATAAAAATTTATGTGCTCAATTTCTTTCGATAAAGGCATTCATATCAATTAAATAAAAAGTGATTTGGACAATATATAAATATAAAAGGAATAAATATATCAGCGATGAGTCCACCCACGATCGGAGAGTTGAAAATATAAAAATTACGAGCTTAATGATGTTTGGGTTAAACGTTTGAGTTAGATTATATATGTTTATATTTATGTGTTTGTGATGTCATTTTCATTGGACAAACAAGAAGAAATTTTTTATAGAATCAAAGATAATTTGATTGCACGAAACCAAACGATTTTAAGGTCTTAAGTTTGAGTACTATGAATGTTAAGTGGTAAAAGAATTGTTGTTATTCCTTGAAATCTTAAGTTCGAGCACTCTAAATGTTAAGGGTGTGAACATATAAAATCAAATGATTGAAAGTTACATTTAAATAAATATTTTCTTGTACTTATCTCGAATTAATAAAAAAAATTGATTAAAAAGATAATTTCAGCCAAATATGTGAAGGCTAGCCAAAGATGACTTTCTTTGCTGGAACAATGTCTTACAATGTTTAAACAAGTTTTTTGAACTCTTTTAAAGAGTAATTGGTTCATGAAATATAAAATTATTTTTAAGAATAATATTACTGAAATATAAAATTATTCTGAGAATGAGAATGTTATATTATATTGTTTGGTTTGTTTGGCAGAAATGTAAGATTACAGTATTTGGTTGGAGGATGAATATAAGATTACTTGAATACATATTTTACTAAATTATCCTTATGATATATGTTCTTTATAATAAGTTAAACTTTAATATTAAATTACAAATATTTAAATAAAAATTTATAGAAATACTTTAACCATTACAAAATTTAACATTTGAGAGAAAAAAATACATTTAACATATAATTAATATATTAAACTTATATTTTTAAATAATTTTCATAAATATCATATTTATTCATATAAAATATAATATAATATAATATGAAAAAATAATATTGTGGTCTCCAATGGACAAAGATATTATTTTTCAAAGCATAAGATCTATTTTCTAAAACTCAAAGTTATATGTTATTTTAAATAATTACTTTGTCTACAATAATATCATTTTTTTTCATCTCATAAAATTACAAATGATTAATATATTAAAAAATAGAAATAATTTTAATTGCTTAATTTATTAATATTTCATTAAATCAAACTCTTTATATATTATTATTAAGTAAAACACAAAAAATAAGAATTGAGAAATATTCATATGATAACAACTCATCATTTTCAAGAGTATTTTTATCCAAAATGACAAGAGTTGTGTAATACCTAAAAATTTAAAGGTAATATTAATCTCACCATTTAATTAAAAAATGTTATTGTTGGTAATAAATTATTACGTAAATATACGATTTAAAGGTGTAAACCAATAATTAATAATGTTATTGTTGATAATATACTAGAACTCATTATTTAAACACTTTCGCTTAAAAATACAAAGTATTGTATATAAGATGACATCAATTTTCAACCTGGCCGTCTTAGCTCAGCCGGTAGAGCGCGTGGTTTTTAACCACGTGGTCGTGGGTTCGATTCCCACAGACGGCGCTTGTTTCCATTTCCTTTTTTCCTCTTAGTCGACGAATGTAAAGAAATATAGGTGTATTCGTCAGTTACAAACCAGTTCCTGGCTTCCACATGCTTTCTAACCTTAATAATACTTTGTACATTAACTATACTCAATCCCATATAAAATACTTTTTAATTATTAATTTTATATATAAATTTGATTATTGTTAATGGATTCATCCATTTCTTTGACGAAATATATCTTGAACTCCATGAATCATTTAAAAATTGATGTCTGGAGTTCTTTTATTTATTTAAAGTATAATAGCAAGATTAATCTTCAAAGGTTCATTATTTTCAATTTTATCCTTAGTTATTTTAATGCAGAAAAAATATTTTAAAATTTTTATATAAAAAATCTGACACGTTAAAAAAGTGACATGTGATATGTTTTAAAAATATATCATTTACTCGAGATATAATAATAAGATTAATCCTCGATGTTTTATTGATTTTTCAGTTACTCCCTTAATTTCGTTTGGCTTTAATATAAAATAAGTGCCTTTAAGATATAATAATCATTGTTTAGCTTACATTTAATCATTTTAGTTCACGGTAACCTAGTTTATTCAGATACACAAATCTAACGCCTATCTCTAATGGATAGATTTAATTTTTTTAATACTTTTTAAATTTTTATTTTTAATGATTTATAATATCATTTTATAGCTTATTATATTTTTATTTTTCTATTCATTTAAGTGTTTTTAATTTTTTTCCTTTTTAATAATTTTTATTTTAGTATTTATGTTTATATGTTTATATATTTTATATTTATATAATTTCTTAGTTTTTATTTATTCTAAAAAAATAAATAAACCCTTTTGTTGAAACGTACCTCTTTTGGGCTTTGACCTTGTGCAACCTTTTTCATTTTGCTCTAACAAGTTCAATAACGGGTGATTGAATTTTTTCTCGTTTTTTATTAATATGGGTTAAAACATGTGTCCCAATTAGATGATCACACATGTCAGCATCGGATCAAACAAAAAAATAAAACTAAAATTTGTAGAAGTTGAAGGTTCAATTTCTATAATTAAGGTTTCATTTGTTTAACTTCAATTGGTTTGCTTATCCTTTATTAATGATGTTTACAGCATGTAGCATAATAATTCTTGAATTGATGATTTAGGGACTATTATAAAAGTTTTAAAAGTATAAATATCATATTTAATATTTGACAAAAGTATAAGTGTAATTTGAGAGATTGTTCCAAAACTAAATAAAGGGATAAGATCAAAGGTTTTCATATTTTAAAAGAAAGGGATAGGAACAAAGTTTTGATATTTTTCGCATTGTGTTTCTGGCTTCACTTATTTTCTAGACAGAGGCAAAATATGAATTCCCATTTTCAAGATACTAAACATTGTACAATTTTTTTTACAAGTCCTTGCAAATTGACTGTTATTATTACAATCTTAGTACAATCATTTATAATTTTAAAAATTCATCCCCTAACATGAAATTTTATGTCCGTCCTGATTATAACATAAAATTTAGTACGTTGCAAACAGGGTTTTGAGTAAGTAAACATTAATTCTTGAAGGAATTTATAGGGTGGCAATAAGAACATATTGGACCACGGTGAGGGACACAATTAGGGGGCTAAATTGTCTAGTTCTAAAATTGATAAGGTCTTAATGTATATGAACCAAATAATAGGTCTACTTGAGAGTTGAGACTACTGGTAACTGATTGGATTTTTTTATGATAAATTACATTTTAGCTCACTAAAGTATTAGTAGCTGACGTTTTAGCTATTATACTTTTAAAATTACAAAATAATCATTAAATACATCAAAAAGTTACAAAATAATCATTGTGACATTATAAAAAGTATAAAATTTTGATAAACTAAATGAACCTTTTGTCACAGTTCGATAAGAAATAATGATATTGTTTGATAAATTTATTAGTCATTTTGTAATTGTTAAAAGTATAATGACCCAAAAGAATCATTTAAACATAATTCAGTGTCCTATGATTCACTTTACCCATTGTTTTAAATTGTAAACCAATGAAATTGAAACCTTCTGACAGAAGGAGAAGACTTTTTGCTTTTAAAAGGACCAAACTGCATAACAGAAACTCATAAGCGTTAGGTGAATCACTGCAATTCTCTTCAATCCAACCAAAATAGCCAAAATCCCTTTCTTCCTACTTGGAATGGTTGGGTTTTTCTTTCGCCGATTTTTGCAACATCGGTCCCAAATCATACTGGTCAACTTCCCTCTCTTCACTTAGTTCTTTTTCCCCCTTTTTTCTGATCCAATAAATGTTTGGTTGGGTTTTGATTCTTGAAAACAGGGACGTTGGCTGAGAGATCTGAGAGTTAGAGTGGCGGGGAGGCGACGGCGTAATAGACGCGCGTTGGAATCGTTGGGTACATGGAAAGCTGCGGCGGCGGTGATGGAGGAGCGAAATCGAGCTATCAGGGGGGAGTTGAGGCGACAGTTTGTACTTAATTCCCTTACTAATCTGTTGGTTCACGATCGTCTCGTTGAGGTGGAAAACGATCCTTTAATGAGAGACGCTTTTCAAAGAATTAACTCTCAGAATCTCAATCTATGGGACATTGTTAATAACAACCCACCTCGACCTTTCCCAGGACACCGAAGGCGCCGCCGATGATCGCCGTTGGTAGTTGTGACTTGGCATCGTCGGGAACTCCAGGTGGTGGGGCAAAGTTTTCAAATATTATCATCTAAATTTAATAATTTTTTTTAATTTAAATCTTTTAACTTATATTTTTTTATCTATTTTTGTCCTCTTAATAATATAACATTTTGTGGCATTTTACCGTGAGTGTTAGATTATTAAGGAGATATTTGGTTCACGAAATGTAAGATTATGTTTATGAATAATATTATTGGAATATAACATTACTATAAGAATATCATATTATTTTTTTTTGTTTGTTTAGCATAAATGTAAGATAACACTGTTTAATTGAAAGAATATAAGATTATTTTGATGCATATTTTATCAAATTATACTTATAATATATATTTTTAAAGTTAAACTTTAATATTAATTTATAAATATTTAAATAAAAATTCATAAAAATATTTTAATTGTTATACTATCTAACTTTTGAAGATAAATTACATTTAATATATAATTAGTATATTAAATTTAATATTTTTAAATAATATTCATAACTATCATATTTATTTATATAAAATATAACATGATATAAAAAATAATATTATGATAGTGGATAATGATATTTTTTTTCAATTATATAAGATATGTTTTTTAATAACTAAAAGTTAAATATTATTTTAAATAATTACATTTTTACAATAATACTTTTTTTATTACATAAAATTATAAATAGTAAAATATTGAATATTAAAAATATAAAATATTTTAAATTCTTAAAATTATTAATATTTTAGTAAACCAAACTGTTTGTATATTATTATTATTATTATAATTTTGAATAAAGTATAAAAAATAAGAATTTAGAAGGATCATTATAAAAAAAATTCATTACTTAAAGGGTATTATTGTCCAAAGTAGTGAGAATTGTTCATTACCTAAGAATTTGGAAGTAATAACATTCTTACAATTTTAACCAAAAAAAGCTACTATTGGGAAAATAGTATTTCCGGTAATATAAGATTCCGTGAACCAAACGTGAAAATATAATTCTGGAAAAAAATAGAGAAAATAACTTCAGTGACCGAAAATGCATTATATACGATTTTAACCAATTTTTTTTAGATTTACGAAAATAACCAACAAATTCGCAACGCGATCTCAAAATCGCAACGAGAACACCAGTTTCGCAACACAGTTTTCAAATTCGCAACGCGATTCTCCAAAATTGCAACACTAATTACCGATATAGGTAAACAAGCAACTCAGTTTTCAAATTCGCAACGCGATTCACCAAAATCGCAACGCGAATTTCGTTTTCGCAACGCTAATTACCAATATAGATAAACACAATTATTCGCAACTCAGTTAGTAACTAATTGGGAAAAGAGGCATAGATTAAACACCTTTTGTATACTTAAGCCATTTTTTATTAGTCTAAACGGGCAAGGTGTAGGATAATGTTGTATTTAGTTCAATACAATAATTAACGAATGGTTAATTGAAGAAAGGATTTGCGTTGCGGGTAAGGTGTAGGATAATGTTGTATTCAGTTTAATATGATAATTATCAAATGCAATAAAGGATATTTGAAAACCATTAGTCAACTTTCCCAAAGGATTGGAACTATGCAGAGAGATCACTCGGACTTTTTAGGAAGCTGGGGAAAATGGCTTATTAAATCATGATGCGAGCCACCTCAAGGAAATATCAACATACTTCAAAGCAGAAGAAAAATATGTCTATGTTGGTTTGGATTACACATTTTAAGATAGAACATGTTCGTGACCAAAATATGCCTGGTCTAATCTTCTGTCATCTCAACTCCATACGGGCCGCTTCCGTGGTCAGAATTCCCGGCATGATCAACCTTGTCACGACTGCCAACTGTGCGAGGTTCATCGTCTTTACGAATAAATATCAACCTTGTCTCAACTCCATATAGGTAAACATTCTCCAAAATTTTCGTTTTTGCAACGCTAATTACTGATATAGGTAAACACAACTATTCGCAACTCAGTTTTCCTATATCGGTAATTAATGTTGCGAAAACAAAATTCGCGTTGCGAATTTAAAAACTGAATTGCGTGTTTACCTATATTAGTAATTAGCATTGCGAAAACGAAATTCGTTTTGCGATTTTGGAGAATCGCGTTGCGAATTTGAAAACTGAGTTGCGAATAGTTGTGTTTACCTATATCGGTAATTAGCGTTTCGAAATTTGCATTCCGAAAATGAAATTCGCAAACTGTGTTACGAAACTGGTGTTCGTGTTGCGATTTTGAGATCGCGTTGTGAATTTGTTAGTTATTTTCGCAAATCTAAAAAAAGTTGGTTAAAATCGTATATTATAAGACATTTTTTGTCACTGAAGTTATTTTCTCAAAAAATATTATCCTTAGTAATATAAGATTTCGCGAACCAAATGCACCCTAAAAGGACTAAAAATAGGTCAAAATATAAGTTTATAAATTAAATTTGTTAAATATTTTATATCTTTTGTATCTCGTTCTTATCTTGGATTTAAATTTATTTAAATTAATTATTTTGACTTAATAAAATTTATTTTTATTTTATTTTTGGTAAAATTTAATTTGTACGATATACAATTATTTAGTTTCTTAGTAACATAAATTTATCAAAAAAATCACAAAATATTGTAACAATGAAGAGCATACCTAAGTTTAAAGTGGGGATCTAATAATTTAATGTTTTTATGTAATCATGGATGGTGGCATCCTAAATCTAAATGTAATGAAATTTGTTACTATGTGGTTTCACATAGAGTGGAAGACAGTCGGACACTTAATACCTTTAGCATTTTTTAAGCTAAGTAATTAGTGTTAGTGTTATCTTTTATTCTAATGATCTTTCTTCTTCTCTTGTTGGAGAGTTTTAAAAAAAATAATTTTGGTGATTATAATATAGTGATTGTTCAGAAATTTTCAATTAATTGATAATATATACATTTAGTAGACATGATTGCTCAAACATATAATCTATAGAAAGAACAATATTCCTTTAAACCACGGGATAACTTGATGAGTTCTTGATGAAGAATTTTTCAATTTTGTAAAACATAACTAAATACTAAAATTGTTATTTTGTACAATAACTTTGGAAATATGGATGGACATAGATTGGGTTGGATTAGATTTTCGGTCAATCCGACCTGACCTAAAATTATATATCCAAAACCCGATCTGACATGACTAAAAAAATATGCACCCTCTTGACCTGACCCGACCCAAAATAATATATTTATTAAAAATATTTTTTATTCATTATAAATGGGAATTTAAATAATAATAATAATATATAGAATGTATTCTTGTAATTATCCCTAAATATATAAGGTAAATGTAAACCCCAAAATTTTGAATAGTGACCAAAATGTAAATTTTGAAAGTTTAATGGCCAAAGTATAAAATTGGTAAAAGTTTAGGGAGCAAAATGGTAATTTTCCCAAAAAAAGAATTTTTATTCCACAAATGAATAGTTTAATTTTGAGAATGGGTTTTATTGAAATCATATTATTGATATGGAAATTGTGTTAAAAACTAGAAAGTGTTAAAGTCCGGTAAAAATTTAATAAATCGGATCGAATAGAAAATTTGAGAAAATTTGAAGGATGATAAATTCATCTTAGAAATATTATTTCCACATTTTAAAATGATGGAAAATAATATGTATCATTGGATTTGAAGATTTATTTCTATGTTTAATTTGGACCGTTAGATCATAGTGGCAAGATTGCAATTTTTGGAAAGTTGCTTGATAAAATTGGAAAAGAGTAAAACATTTTGTTCATCTTTAACTTTGGAAAGATGATAAGGTTATGTGGCTTGGTATTATTATAAATATCAAGTTTCATTAATTGCAAAATAGACATTTCTCATTAAATAAATATTTTATTTATTTAAGCTTAAATAAAGGTTAAACTAACATGAAATTCATTAGAAATTTCATGAAAACTTAGCCATCAACCAACATTTCGTGCTCCCCATGAACAAGATAAGAGAATTTTTATTTTTTATTTTTGAGCAATTTCCTTTAGATTTTGGATCATGCCGTGAAATAGAAAATTGTTATATTCGAAAAATGCTATCATTTGGTACCATTATTGTTTGCTAATTTGGTTTATGTTCAAAGATCTCAAATTCTAAGATTTATGTTCACTTTAGGGTTTATGGAATTGATTAAGGATTCTGATGTTATTGAGGTTGTATAATCATTTCCAAGCATGATTGATGATTAAAATCACTTTTACATGATCATATTAACATATAAAGTTTCGGCCTAACCCTAATATTGGGAGAAAGATTTGTTTTGACGAAATTAAATTAGGGTTTTGATTGTAGAGATTTTATAAGGTTGAATCAAAGTTTATTTCATTCTTGAATCGAATCAAAATCGAGTAAAATCATGAAAACCTTAATCTTGAACATACAAAGCATTCGACCTTGACTATAGATGATGAGAAAAATTATGGAAAAATTATGTAGGGGCTGGAAATGGTGTAGGAAGTATTCTACAAGCCTTAGAAAAAATTTGGGGACCATTCTATAATTTTTTGAAAAGTTGGAGGACCTAATCAGCACTTTTGAAAAAATTGTGGATTATTATTTAATTGTTCAATATTTGATGTACTATGCTGGAAATTAATGTTTGAGTGTTGAAATTGAAGTTAGAATGTGAAATTGGATTATTTTGAGAAGTAAAAGTTGAGGCTTAAATCACAAATATGGAAAAGTTGGGAGCTTAAGTGAAAATGTTATGTGAAATTTGGACAAAAAGGAACTTGAGTGGTAAATTAGAAGTGTTAAGGTAAACATTTATGTTGTGACATGGAAATTATATCGAATAAGTATCGGAAAATTTGCTAGGAATTTATTTTCCAAAGTATGCATATTCTAGTAAGATTCTAACATTTGGTTTGAATTTGTATATGTTTGTTAATGATGTTCATTTAGATTGAGTGCTTGAAATCAAGATCAAATTTTATTAAATCTATAGAGAAGCTTAAGGATTAAATGAGAAATTCTGAGGGAAATTTGCAAGCTATGGACACTAGGTGAGTGCAAATTTAATTTGTATTTATGTTATCGAACAAACATTGGCTTGCGATGAGCCAGTGACAAAGTTACTATGGTATGAAGTGAATCCTAA